ACACTAAACCAAGCACACTGGACACCAAGAATTGGAACCAATCAAGATTTAAAACCCATGTCAAAAGAAAGACGATAGATAGACACAGCTTCAGTGAGTTTATATGGAGAATCAATATGAAGGACAGCTGCATGTTTTCTTAGGCCTTTCTAAGTGTCCCAAAACATGGTGGAAAGCAACTTTGACAGAATCTTTGTCTATAGAGGGCAAGTTGCAGACTGAGCATACAACTGATTATCATTTGTATAAAACCGGTAGCTCAAATGAAGAAATCCGATTGGTTCATAGCCATGAAATAATAACCACAAACCACTATGATGTCTAATTCCTTTGCACTTTCAGTATCACTCCATGTCTGAGAACAACACCTACACTAATGTGTTGTCAGGGCTGCTGAGCGACATGAGGGAACATGTTATAGATACAAATTAACAAAGTTAAAGACCAAAAACACGACACACAAAAGAATCATCTCAGGTAAATTTCTATGAAGGAGTGGATTAAGCAGTGCCCGTCTCCTACTAAACGACATGCAGAGAGGAGGTTCAATAATGTTGCTCAGAAGCAGGCCAGCAGGAATACAGCAGAAATAAACTAACTGATGCCTTCGCAGAACCATGATTCAGAAACTATCCAATACAGCTTTCTAGACAAGAGAGATTGTGGTTGTAAGTGGTGTAATGGTAATTTTTTACCTAGTATATATTTCTACTCAGTATATTGTATTCATGCATAAGTCATTTTGTTCTGAAGTTTGTTGAACTTCACCGTGTCTGTGTTGTGCAAAAGAAGAGTTCTCCCTTGCCTGTTCACATAGATAACTAACTGTGTTGTATGAGAATGTTCCACCACCAAGGCCTTTGGGCCGCTTGTTTTTCATTGTTGTTACTATCAGTCTGAGACCGAAAGTCTGAGACTGAAATGTCTGTAACATTGTCCATCGGCCCCCACCTTTGCTCATTCTGTATAAAGAAAGCTTGTTCACTTTATTCTTGGTTCTTCCTCACTGAGACTGTACGCATTGTGTTGTGATGATTGAACCTTCTCTGCGCAGAGAATAAATACTTAATAGACAACCTGGTTTTTGGTATTATGTATTTCAGCATTAAAAGACTCACGCAAAGCGGGTATAGGAATTTGTTCCACTACAGTGGTCACAAGCATTGAAACCTCTCTCCAGAGCTACAGGCAACCAAATCCTACAATCCTACTGACTTCACAAGAATTAACCAAAAAGATCAGAACAACTCAGAACAAAGCAAACACCTCCCCAATCTGCTGCAGGTTCAACTTCAATACATAACCCGTCCACTCAGCCTCTCTGGTCCCGCTATCATCAGTCCCAGTTTCTATGTCCATGTCCGCTACCCAAAGTTTCCCATCCGATGTCAAACAGCACGGGGTTGTGACACACACACACACACACACACACAGATACACGGCCATACTGAAGCACAAAATATAGAGGCATGAAATCTCACATTTCAAATCTCTGAGGCCACTTGAATCCAATAAATGTAACCCAAAATAAAAAGGAAATATTACTTTCTTGGGGTGTGTGTTTTTTTTTTATTGCATCTGAATCCTTGAAGCCTTTTATCAAATATTTTGAGCTTTTTAGGTTGGCTTTCAATCATTTTAGTAAAAACCTGTATGAATAATCTAATATTGGCTCCAACACATGTTATCTCGGCACCACTGGGCCAAACAACCTGTTCCTGCAGGAACATAAATTAAAAAGAACACACACACACACAATTTCTTTCTGACTCCCCTGAACCTTTTTCCAGTTTCTCTTTCATATTTGTGATTTCAAATGTCATTGCACATAATAATGTTTGTATTGACTATTTTTTGTATTTGCTGTGGTTTGCTGTCTAGTTGTGTTTCCTGTATCTGCACCAGCTGATGCTGGCATTTCCCAGTAAAGTGAACTGTCACTATTTATGAGAAAGCTAAACTGAATTGAGTGTCAGGTTCATATGAAGGAATAACCATTCATTTGTAATATACTGTATTCTACAGCGTTGTAATAGTTTCTATTATGAATTTTTGACCAGTTTTGTACTGGTTTGTCATTGAGTTGTGTTTTGTTGCTCACAGTATCTACCTGCACTACAGGGTGTTGATTACTCACCAGGACAAATCGCCGGTCTCACATCACCCCCGTACTCCGATCTCTCCACTGGCTCCCTGTAGCATTTAGGATACACTTCAAAATTCTCACCCTCACTTACAGAGCACTACACGGTCAGACTCCTACATATGTGACTGACCTACTTCACCCATATTCACCCGCCCACACTCTCAGGTCAAACGTTTTAGGTCTTCTGTCTGTCCCGCGCACACGATCTAAGACCCGTGGTGACTGAGCCTTTGAGGCAGTAGATCCGAGGCTATGGAATGCTCTGCCTGCACCTCTACGCCTCGCAGATTCAGTCAACACTTTTAGAGACAAGCTCAAAATGTACCTTTCTAAACTGGCGTTTGGGTAAAACCCGTGTCCTAGACCTGCTTTTAAACTATGTTTTAATTTTTAATTTGTTCTGTGTGTATGTAAATTATTGGCCCTATGGTCACATTGTGTTTTTTATGCTTTTAAATTTCTGCTCTGTGAAAGCACTTTGTGACTTTTGTCTGTGAGAAGCGCTCTATAAATACATTTTACTTTACTTACTTTACTTTTATTTTGATATATTCCTGTGGTGATTCTTTGCCAATACTATTTCTGTAAAAGTGAAACTTAACTCGCAGTGGGCAAGGTGACACAAGGAGTATATAAAGCATGTAGGGGTGTGTCGCCTCATCATGTTTTTGAATTCATCACCTGTACTGCAGCTCATCATCCATTAACATCACAGGTAAGATCAAAACTACGACTCACTGGGAAATGGTTTATCATGTAGACTTGTTTTCAACTCTTCCTTGAGCCTTTCTGCTCTATAATGTACTTTTAGAACAGCGATGGCAGCAGCAGCCTTGTCAAGCAGCAGAGGAGTGGCTGGTGGCCTGTACATCCTCTTCACTCTGCTGTGTCTGGTTTGCCTCGCAAGTTCATGGATACACGACGAGAAACTGGTAAATAAATTGCTGCTTAACCTCCCATTGCTGTCGAAAACAATTCCGCATTCATTTGCAAGTCCACAGTAATTTTGATTCACCACAAGCAAACTTCCTGTTGAAATGTTCTTAATTTTCCCATCTGCAGTCGTATGCGCAGATATGCTAGAGCTGCTGTCATGCTTCGGCTGTTATGTCCACAAATGTAACTGCATGTTGATTCTCACGCTGTGTTTGCAGAAAGATCTCAAAGAAGACAATCAGAAAATACAACAAAAC